CAGCCTTCTCACCTCTATAAATCACTACCTTTGTCGGAATTTGAAACTGTTTTACCAGCTCTTTTGATATGATACTATAGTCAACTTTAACATAAAACCCGTAACTCATTATTTCATGTAAATGTGTAACATGAGTTTTCTTTTTTTGCTGGTTTTTATGTCTTTTAATGAATTTATAAGATTGTTTAGGTGTTAAAATGCATTCGAAATCTGCATAAATGACAAATGGAATCCTATGGGTTTTTTTATAACCTTTGAAATAGATGAAATCGTCATCCCCCTCATCAAACATTATAGGCCTCCCCAATGGATTCTTTCCGCAATTACGTTGATGTTCATTTAATCCTTTAACACCCCAAAGCTTACTTTCACACGGTTGAGTACCAAAAGTTGTGAAACATCTCTTACAAATAATTAACTTTGAACAATTTTTCGTTTTCTGACTTCTGATTAATCTTGAAAAATGTTTAATATAACAATAATGTGATGTTTCATCATTATTAAACAAAAATAGGTCAAAATGATTATTTCTTTCAGTATTACATACATACAAGGGAAAAAATGTTTCTTTATAATCCAAACTATAAATGTTTATTGAAATATTGTTTATACGTTCAAATTTGGGTATCTTACTGATCGGTGTTGGAAAATGAACACATTTAAAATTTAAACCACTTTTTAACTCTAACATCTTAAAATATTTTTCATTAAAATTAGTTTTATTTGAGCGATTATCAAACTTTGATAATAATGCATATTTAAAACATTTATTATCACTATTTTTCACATTGATAATCACTTTTTTTATCTTTAACATACTTAGGTAAATCAATATATGTTCCCTCTTTCAGAGGATACTATATTGATTCTCAGCTGCAATGTTTCTATCACCTTGAGCGACCATCCAGAAAATTTCTGTTTAAAATCTGCCTCTTCTCGTAACAATTTATTGAACATGTTGTTTAGTAATTTTTTGAAATTTGATGAATTACACGCAAAAACATTAGAAGTTTTGAATGCAATATCCTGTACTTCTTGCATTAAAATTCTTTCGTAAACACTATCTACAACTAAATTAAATTTTATAGATGTATTTTCTCACGATTATTTTAACTTCAAAATTAATTTCTCTGAAATATGGTTAAAAAAAAGCGTGTAATCTATAAAATCCAATGTATTCCTGATGATAAAAGTTTTCGAACATTTTTTAAATCGTTCAATTTCGAATAGCTCTTTATCAGTAGAAATTGTGCGCTGACATTTTCTCACCGTTCGTCTTTTCTTGATGAAACTTTGAATAGAATAAATAAAAAAATATATATAAAATAATAATGTAGGTAGATCATTTTATTTCAAATATCATTCAAATAAATTAATACATTTAGAACATATTTACAAGACTTTAAAAATAAAAAAGCAGTTTTGAGTCAAAAATTAATGATTAATAAACAAATTATTGATAAACTATTAACCACTGTTCATATAATTGTATTGAGCATATAATTTAGATAATCCTTTTTGAATATTTTTTTCATTTTTCTTAGCAATATATAACGAATGTAAATAGTCCTTTATAATCTTCTTTTTTTCATTCATTAATTTTTTTGGTTTTAAAACAGCTTTTTTTATTTTTATATCAATATTTTTATTTTTTTTTTTTAAATTCTACTGCTTTTTCATCCATTGCTCGGTCATTATTCTCGGCCTCTCGAATAACATCGTTAATTTTATCCATAATAAATGATTTTGATTCCATTTTTTTAATAAAAAAATAAAATAGCAAATATTGACAGTAGTAAATAATACTAATAATAATAATAGACTAATTTATGTATTGGAATATAAGCATAAATACTATCAACAAATTAAAATAAATTATGGTTATACATCATATATAAATATTAGCTTATGATTATTATGCTAAGTTTACAAAATTAATAAATAAAACATTTTTTAGAATGGTTGGTATATTAATTATAAATAGTACAATTAAAAAAAAAATTGAAAAATAATGTGAACAAAAAAAACTTTTAGTTTAGAATGTTTATTTATTTACATGTGACTATCATCTAACTATTTTTTAAACATAAACATAATAATATATACAATACTACATATAATATAGGTAATCTAATTTTGATTTCAACAGATTGTACTCAACTGTTGTAGCTGATCATTAAGATTTTCTAACTGCATTAAATAATTAAAAAACCTCTCAAACTATAAACGTAATTATTTTTTTAAAATTGATATAAAGTTTTTTTTTAAAATATTAAAAAAATCTTTCAAACTATTAACGTAATTATTTTTTTAAATTTGATATAATATAACCGATGGGAGATATCCTTTGAACTGAAAGCATTTTTACTTTGTGAGCGTTTTATATACTAAACCTGATAGATAAAAAAAAAAAAATGCAAAAAATGTGAGCGTACAGTATAGTCGACTACTGCATGCAGTGGAGGGGAGAATTACATATTATACTTACCTGATACCTGAAAACATTTAAATTAACACTACACGCAGTAATCCACTAGACCACACGCTCACGAGATATTACATCAAATAATAACACATATAAGTTGTTTTAAAAAAAATCAGCATTTATTTTTATTTACTATAACATGATTAGCATACATTTAAATTATTTCTACACACACTAACCTCATTAGTCTATCCGATCGTGAGATATTAAATCAAATATTAACACATATAATTTGTTTTTTTTTTTTAAAAAATCAGCATTTAATTTCATTTAGTGTAACATATAATAAAAACATGATTAGTCAACAGTAAAAAAAATCAACATTTTATTTTTATTTACTATAACATAATATAATAAAAACTTAATTAACAAACAGTATCGTATGATTCAGATTCACAACTGTGAATATGTTCGGTTTTACAGTATTTACTTAATACATTTTGAACATACTGATTACCCTTCATTAATAATACATATAAACATCTTGGACTGAATCTGCAATGTTCAATCCATGGGTCGTCCAGCCTTTCCCAGTTATGAAGAATAAGACCACAACAAATTAAGCATTCCACGACATCATCCACTCCTGAATATTTTAAGCCACATTCGGACAATGTATATTTATTTTGAGAAGTATTTAACGGGAATAATTTTAATGTTTTAAATCTTGATGCAAACGATGAAAATTTTGGATGAACCATGGTCGGATTATTTCGTATACGATAAACTAATGATTCAAAATCATTCGGACATTTGTGAAAATTCCTTTTTGAAGAAATTAAATAACTTATACAATGTAATAAAACTTCAAGAAAATAAAAAAAAAATGAGACACGACTTAAGTGAACGGCGGATCATTAGTAACTGAATATGAGAAAATGATCAGGTTATAACTAAAAATTGTATACATTTTTTTAGAAAAATACCGACATTCATTAATTAGATCAATTGCAGTGCAACCAACATAAATGTAAATGCGAATATAGTAATTATTATTTCATTTTAGTAATAAGGTTTGTTGAGAAAAAAAACATTTAGTGTGTACACGGTAAATATTTGGACAAAACTGACTTTGAGTGTGCAAACTCTTCATAATTTTTACACGGTAAAATTATTGTGTCCAAGCGGAACATCTTCCCTTGAACGATGTGAAATTACCGTGTAAAAAGTGTGTAAATTCTTCATAATTTTTACACGGTAAAATTATTGTGTCCAAGCGGGACATCCTCCCTTGAACGTTGTGAAATTACCGTGGTGACACAAAAAAAAGACTGTGAACATACAAATCTATACTACTTATAAAAATATATTAAAAACAATTTATATGAACTTTTTTCTTTTTTATGTAAATTAATCGATATACGTAAATACATAATATATAGGTAGTTAATTTTTGACTGCCCAGTTGCCCGCGCCATTTTGAATGCGCCGCCCGGAACTCTAATTCCCAATAGTAGAAACTCAGTTAGGAGATAGCGCAAGTAAAAACCCGAGTCCAGGAGTAATCACTAATCACACGTAGCCAAGTTACAGATAGTTTTGAACATCAGTCATTAAAATTTTTACCTAAAACACGCACTAAAAAAATTGGTAGTCATAAAATTAAAAGACGCTTTTAAATTTATTCCACTATGCACAGGAATAGACGATATCTATCAATTCATAAATGCATGCGATATGACAGTAAGTTTAGTCGACACAGAAAGTTCACCAACATTAGTAAAATATATTACCACACGTTTAACGGGTAGAGCATAAAAATAATTAAATACAAAAATGTAACGGAATGGCAGTTTATAAACATTTATTTAACAGATGCATTTGAGGTAACAACCACGGCATCATCTTTACAGATTCAATTAAATTCCATTAGAATGTATCACAATGAGGATGTAAATGATTATTGTCATAGAGTAGAGAAACTGTATTATCAGTTATGTACTGTAAGTACATTAGGCAAAGAACCTGCAGAAGCAAAGGTTATACGTGAAACATTAAGAGAAAAAACTCTAGCGATATTTATTTAAGGATTAGTAGAACCGATTAGGACAATAATAAAATCTGGTAATCCCAAGACTTTAGAGATCGCGAAACAACTATCAAAGTCAGAACAGGCAGAACTAGATTTGGAAAGGGAAAGTCATATGCATAGGAACAGTTATTCGAATAACTATTCACAGAATTATAACCAGCGCAGACCGAATTACGAAACTAGAAACAACGAAAACATTAGACCAAATAACCCTGTAAGGACAAATAATTATCCGCGAGCAAACAATTTTGTCTCAACCAATCAATAGGTCAGCAATAAAGTGCTATAATTGTAATCAGTGGCGTATCCAGAATTTTTTTTTTTGGGGGGGGGGGGGGGGTAATAAAAGTGTAACATATAAAATTATATTGAATTGTGTGTTTTTATTATAATAAATTATCATACATTAAATATTTTATAAGTGTATAACTATTTTACAACGCTGATTATAAAAAGTTGAAATATGTAAATATTTTTTTTTTTTTAAACTAAATTTATATTCAATTTTCGTATCGATTTTTTAGCAAGTTCATCTAAAACATCATTAATATCCACGTTAATATCACGATGAATATTAAGTAAGGCTAAACCATTTAAACGTATTTGTCCAGAAGAATTTCTCAAATAAGTTTTCAAACGACGGAGTGTTGAAAACGATCGTTCTCCCGTGGCAGTAGATACTGGAAGTGTAATAAATATTTGAAGAAGCTTAGATATCATTGGATAATCATTTGCATCCTCATTGTGATACATTCTAATCGAATTGAATTGAAGTTGTAACGACGATAAATTGGTTGTCACTTCGAATGCATCTGTTAAATATGCTTTTATAAATTGCCATTTTGTTACGTTTTTATATTTAATCATTTCTAATGCTCTACCCGTTAATCGTGTAGTAATATATTTTACTAATATTGGTGCGCTAATTGTGTCGACTAAACCTACTGCCATATCACATGCATTTATGAATTGGTAGATATCGTCTATCCCTGTGCATATTGGAATTAATTTGAAAGCGACTTCTAATTTTATGGTTACTGCCATTTTTTTAATGCGTGGTTTAGATATAGAATTTAACGACTGATGTTCAAAACCTTCTGTGACTTTGCTACGTGTGACTACTCCTAATTGTGGACTTGGGTTTTACTTGTGCTACCTACTAACTGGGTATCTACTATAGTATTTAATTGGGCTTTCTGTTGGGCTTCAAACTGGGCTTGGGCTTCTCTCTGGGCTAATAACTGGGCTTCTTCTAATACACTAGTGTCATACAATGAATTAGCTACGTTCGAGGGAGATGTATCTTCTTTGTCCATAAATTAACTTAACCACCTATTTAATACGTTAATAATCATAATAATACTCAATAAAATTCAATAATGCCCTATAAATACAATAATAACTTCAATAATATGCCCTCTAATAAATTCAATAAACTTCAATAATACTTCAATAATAAAAATGCCCTCAATAAATAATAATCAATAATAACTTCAATAAAAATATGCCCTCAATAATAAAACTTCAAATAATCAATATGCCCTCAATAAATTCAACAAAACTTCAATAATAATCAATAAAATATGCCCTCAATAAAATTTAAAACGGTTTACACCATTACACTTATAATCAATTACCTAGATTTATCTTAATATGTCTTAATTATGTTGCATACGTCTATGTAACAAATTTAAATAACTATTCACTCACAATAATGCTGTGTTCATGGCTGACGATGACATGTTGCCGTTGATGATGCTGCTGATGGATTTGTTGGTACTGCGATGTGACTTATTTGTTTTTGTTGGTTCCTCCTGGAGTTGTCTTCGCTGAAGAGTGATCAATTCCTCGTTGTTGACAGTAGCCTTTGACGGTTGCCTCCTTTGTGGGATCCTACCGACTGCGCCAGTGTTACATCCGGCCCTTCAGGGATCCAAAAGCTGGTGTACTTTGATAAATAATAATAGACAATTAGTATGGTAATCAAATGTATTATATTAAATCAGACAAAATAAGCAGAATAATAGTGTTGATTGTAGCGAATTGTAGCTCGTTCCGAAATTGATAATCTCCGTGTAAGTTGTGTGTGATGGCTGGGCGGCTAAGCGAGTCGTGTGGTGTTCTCGTCTCTGGATACATCTACTCAGGCTGTCTCACTGTCCCCTATATATATGGTGGCGGCGTCCTTTGAAGTGAGCGGCGCGTGTACAGTCGTCCTTGATATGGACCTCACGAGTCACGACTATGAAAGTGGTATTCTTAGTCGAAAACACTTTTGGGTGTGGTCGCATTCCTGGTTGTTTTTATGAGCAAATACATGATATTGCGTAATCCCATTACAATACTGACTCTCAAAAAATATTCTGGATTATCTGATTTACATTGACGTGGCAAACTAACAGAAATATCAAATTTTTCATACAATGTTATCACAGATAAAAATAATTGTTGAAACTCTACATCACAATTTTCTCTAATTTCCTGAATAGTATTTTGAACATTAGATGCAGCTTCTAGTGCAGTTTTCAGATCAAGATTTACTGTTTAAAGATATCGGCTGAGAGGAAAACTTATGGAAAGTATTTTCACTAAAATAGCTAAAGCTGTTTGAAATTTTAACTGTCTTATCGCAGTAAGTAGATGACTTACAGAACTAGAAGTGTCAGAATCTGGCCAAAGTGTTATTTTATCTAGTGCATGTAAAATGGCTGGTTGAAGTTCTTCAAATAATATAACTGCATAATGGCGATCGACCCATCGAGTTGCACATAGATTTTTTAGTTTAAAACGATTAGTCTGTGGATCTACTATTGATAATTGCAAAATACTTTGCTTTTTTGGATAACCGAAAAAAGGACTTACACTTTGTATAGTACCCATACAATTTCTTACCTCTGGGACTTTACAGGTAAAAGTTATAGCTAAATTTAAACAATGCGCACTGCAATGTAAATAAAAGGCACTAGGATGTTCATCGCGAATAAATTTCTGTACGCCATTATATCTGCCACTCATTGCTGCAGCTCCGTCGTACCCTTGCCAAGTTAAATATTTAGTATTTAGTCCGAAGTCAGTCATACTTTTCAATATAACATCAGATAATCCTTTTCCTGACATATTTTGAATTTCGATAAATTGTAAGTCACAGTGGCGGTTTTCCCGGGGAGGCAAGGGAGGCAATGCCTCCCTTGAAAATAAGAGAATATACATGGTTAATATTATTTAAATTATAAAATGTTGTGTGTTTATATTTTCAAATATAGACAATATTATAAAAGGGAAATAAATAAAATATATATTTAAATTATTTATCGAAGGAACTATGGAGTGTACCATGCCCGTTCTCGGTCTTTAAACAAGACCTTGATGCTTATAACTTAACTCATAAGTAAGAGACTCTCCAGTGACCAGTTCCCGCGCGCAACTGGCGAATCGCGAATATAATATTAATATTATTATTATACCTACTGATATACTGTATTACTACATGTCTACATAGTACGGCTGCCCCTCCATGCGTCCCGTATAGGCGGCGGCTACCTACTTTCTCAGGAGGCAACTGCCGCCGCCGTTATCGATACGTTACATGTGTACACAAATGTACACACGCAGACGCACATAAAATATGGGAACAGCGCATGCGCGATTCTCTGTGGAGACTGTACATAACCGTAGCCTCCGTCCTCAAACGTCACAGGCAGGGTCTAGCAACTCTATAGCGCATTTATGGGCAGTGTAATTATGACATCAGGCACGCTTAGCGCTTCTGTCGCCAACACAATCCCCTACCCTACTACTATCTGGTGGACAGGTCCTCCACTCGGCGTCTCGGCACCATAGATAAGTAAACTCACTCACCGGTTAACTTATTTATGGTTTTTCACTCGACAATCGTGCATTCACCGTTATTCCGTTAACTTTTTAAGTTTTAACTTTTTGTTTTTGCCGCTGTTTTCTGACCACGGTCCTCGTTTTCAGATCGCAAACTCAAATCGTGCTTCTGACTTGTGTAGTGCTTCAGTTTTTTTTTCTTCTATAATTAATAATTTTCTGATAAATTATGTCCAGGCACGCATACAAATGTTGTATTCCGGAATGCCAATCTAAAGGTTCGTATACATTTTTAATAACTGTTTAAAGGTATATCCTATATTTTATCAGTTATGATAAATTTATAAGCATAAAATATTATTACTATGCTGATATTATGTCGGCCTAAAAACAATTTTAATTCCACGTTTACTTGCTAGTTGCATTCTTACTAATTTTGCTTGAGTTATTTAACTTAACTCTAAGAATATAATTATTGATGGATTTAAAACTGTTTTAACGTCATACTAGAAATGTAGTTAATGTTATAATAGGTATATTTTATTTTTATTATAAGTATAGGTAGTATTAATAAGTTTGAAATTCCGAATTGATTAAATATATTATTAACTGTAAATATTAAACATGGCTTGTGTGTCCCTAATTAAGGGGGGATGAGGGGGATATATCACCCCAGAGCCTATATAATGTATATATTTATATATTAATTTGAAGCTTGTGGAATTATATGTTTTATCGTGCTGACATCACGACGAAATATATTTAATATAATGTGTACATTTGTACACGTACATAGTGCTCGACGGTTTTTAGGTTTTAATAATATAATATAAAATTATTCAACTAAAAATTTCTTTCTATAACAACTGCAAATTCTAACTCGTGTCTCGTAACATTATGGAAAACAGAAGAAAAAATGGCTAAACAGCCAAGAAAATTAATTCTTTTATAAACGTAAAAAATTATTATATTATTATGTACATTATAATTATTAAAAACAAAATAAATTTAATATTTAAAAAATTATTATTTAATTTAAAAGTAAATTTTAATTCTAATATATTCAAAATTTACATTTTGAAGAAATTATTATAATATTGTATAGGTACTAAATTGTGTAGAATTTTAAAGCATATTTATTAATATATTTTGTGTGTAAAAAAATGTTTATCCCCCCTAAGACAAATTCCTAATTACGCCACTGAGTAGGTACATTGTAAAGTATAAAATACACAACCTAAATTTCAGTCAAATAAATTATTTTTATTTATTATATTAAAACTATTTTAGGTGCAGTATCACACCGATTTCCGAACCCCAAGAAAAATCGTGATACTTTTATGAAGTGGGTGGAAGTTATTGATACAAATCTAAAAACTATTGATCCATCAATAGTGTATTATAAAAAGAGAGTATGCTCTCTTCACTTTAATAGTGATGATATTAGCCCAGGAACCGCTAATAAATTAAAGGCAAATGTCTTTCCTACTTTACATATACCTGGTAAATTAATCATTCAGATAAGTAATAAAATAAGTAATTATTCTAATTTCACTTCATCTTTGATTTTCAGTTGTTCCTATTGACGTTGAAGTTAGTGCCTCCTGTAGTAGTGACAAACATGTAAATGTTACACCCACTCACAGTAAAGCACCTAGTATTTTTAACTTAGTCTTCTTTCAATTAACCATTTGCTAATTTAACTTTTGATTTTCAGTTGTTCCTATTGACGTTGAAGTTAGTGCCTCCTGTAGTAGTGACAAACATGATGTATTATGTATCCAAAATGAATCATTTGGTATGTTAATCTGCATTCTATATATATTTTAGTTTAAAATATATACTAGTATAATATGATACTGTAATGTTTATTTAATGTAACTTTTAAAATTTTTTTTTCAGGGGAATTTTGTTTAGATGGA